GTCATAAGGAGCCAAATTTAATAACAAAATAATAATAATAATAAACACCTGTGATGATCCATTTACAGAAAGGCTAACAACCAAACATTGTCCCACAGTCTTTATTTATTGGTGCTTTTGGTGAAGGTAAAAATTATGACCCATCCATTATTTTCCTTATCAGTACAAGAGTCTCGTGACCCTTTTTCTTTCTGACAGATGAGAATACATCATGTGGGACAGCAGCTGTAAATCCAACATGCTGTGGAGGTGTTGCATTGTGACATTTGTTTTATTACAGGCCTTTAATTCTTCAGAAATTTCAGCAGATTGTGTTTTTCTTTGGGAAAAGTAGAAGATATAAATAGATAAAATGCTGGCATCAGCCTAATCACCATTGTGACAGATGTAAACTGCTTTTTCTCTCTCTGCAGATAAAAATGGACTCAGGTTTTGTGACATGCTTTCAGTGTGCTTCTTGGAAAAAGCAGCACCAGATTTAGAGCTGACACAGATTCTGAAAGCATCCAGAAATGGAAACTTGTCACCCATGTCTCCTCTGTCAAAGACAGTGTCTGAGCAGACGCTTCTTCCTGACTTGAGCAGCATAATTAGAGGGTCTCAGCCACGGATTAAGAAGCCGGATGATGGCGCCCCCTCCTCTCTAAGCACAATTATTACATTAAGCGTCCTCCTCTCAGACAGACGATCTGCCTGCTGTAAGCAAAGCAGCCGTACCTCCTGGCATGTGATGCATACTGATGATCTAACCCTGTGAGTYGCACAAAAGCAGCAATCTTATCTGTGAAAGTCAGCGTGCACATTCCASTTTTGTCTCATGTGAGTCAGACAGGATGTAGCTCATCTCAAAGTCCACTCCTGATGCCACAAGGATGCTCATCTCTAACCACATCTGACAGAATTTGCTCAGTGATTCCAGCCTGGACTCTTGGGTAATTGCACAGAAATTGATGGCTAAATTAGTGGAGGTGTGAGAATGTTTCACAACGAAGCTAAGGCTAAAAAAGCCACGACCTGAGCCACCCAATCTGTGTCGGTTTCCATCACAGCGTTAACTGACCAGTTAATCAATCATGAGCTGGRTTAATTTGACTCTTCTGTCCCCCGAAATAATAGTGTAGATGGTCTGAAGTGTGTTTTGTTGGAAGGGTTGTGATTAGAGGTACACCAATAACAGTTTTCTGAGCCATTTTCCCACACCACTAGTACCCCTTCAGTCAAACTTAATGATGATTCGCACTGAAGAAACTGTCCAAGGTCCTGAAAGTGCTACAAAATTATCAGGACTTTGGTCAGTGAGAAGGACTGAAAGAACTGTCCAAGGTCCTGAAAGTGCTGGAATATTTCAAGACTTTAGACGTGTGATGGGTTGAAGGAACTGTCCAAGGTCCTGAAAGTGCTGGAATGTTTCAGGACTTTAGACAGTGTGAAGGACTGAAGGAACTGTCCAAGGTCCTGAAAGTGCNCAGTGTGAAGGACTGAAGGAACTGTCCAAGGTCCTGAAAGTGCTGGAATGTTTCAAGATTTTAGACGGTGTGATGGGTTGAAAGAACTGTCCAAGGTCCTGAATGTGCTGGAATGTTTCAGGACTTTAGACAGTGTGAATGACTGAAGGAACTGTCCAAGGTCCTGAAAGTGCTACAAAATTATCAGGACTTTGGTCAGTGTGAAGGACTGAAGGAACTGTCCAAGGTCCTGAAAGTGCTGRAATGTKTCAGRACTTTAGACAGTGTGAAGGACTGAAGGAACTGTCCAAGGTCCTGAATGTGCTGGAATGTTTCAGGACTTTAGACCAGTGGTTCCCAGCATTTTAGACTTGTGTACCCCCTGGGCCATTTTGTCATACCACTAGTACCCCTTCAGTCAAACGTAATGATGATTCTCCAAAACTATAATGTACTACAACTGATTATTAAATGAAAATTGTTTATTTAACCCCCTAGAATATTTAATTCTCAGGCATTTTATTTTTTCCAACTCAAATTAAACATAAATAATATAATGTTGTGTTGAAAGCGAATAAGTAATTAAATAAATAAACCAGGTAATGGCAGGTGCAGAAAACAGCAGCATCCAAAATACATCAGAAACTCACCCAAATGAGCAAATTCCGTGAGATTCCACGTTTATACTGGATTTTATTTCATGTAAATCCTGTGATTCTGTCTGCAATTTCCGCATTGTGCAAATCATAGGGCCCTACATATCTCAGTCCTATTTTTACTTATTCCTTTTTACACCTGGGAAATTTTTCCACGTAGCCCCTGTAATATGCTCATGTACCCCAAGGGGTACACGTACCTCTAGTTGGGAATCATACTGTAACTGGTAGGTTGCCGGTTCAATACCCCATTCCAGCTATCTCAATCAATGTATCCTTGGGCAAGACATTTTGCCTGCCTTGCCTAGTGATGGTGGTCAGAGGGTCCAGTGGTGCCAGTTCATGGCAGCCATACCTCTGTCAGTGTGCCCCAAGGCAGCTGTGGCTGTAGCTTACCACCATCAGGGTGTGAATGTGTGAATGTCTGAAGTGTAAAGCACTTCAAAGTCCACATGGACTTGATAAGGTGCTATCTAAGTTSAAGCCATTCATCATTTACCAACATAATCCAATTACAGACTCAAACCACCTAATTAAGGTTAAAAAAACTGTAAATTAGCACAAAGACATTCACTTATATGCACCACGTTGTTCATTATGCAGATGGTGTATCCAACCAAACTTAACTCAAGGTTGTAGGAGGACTGGACACAAGTTTGCAGAAAGACACAAAGAACTCAAAAAATAAAACTCACAAAATGTCTCACAAGCAGAAAACTCCRTAGAAACACAAGGAGGCAAGCATGAGGGAGACCAAACCAGCATAAAGAAACTACTTTGCTGTGCTGATAAGTGAACAGGAACAGACAATAAATAAAACGAGGCTAAGAAGGAATTAGAAATGCCTGAGCTGAACACAGAACAGGTGTGAATGGGCATGGTAAGCTGACTTAGTGGACTCATGGGAAAATACAAATAAYAGTGCTACACATAAAAATAAATGTAACTATAAAACATAAAGGACTATTTAGAAGAAAAAAACTGATTCTGACAAATTCATGATGTTAAACCTGACCTGTTTTATCTGTGCTAAGAATACACTTAATATTATAAGACTAATGAATGAATACGTCAGTATTGTAGTTGGACTAGTTTGTTTTATAAAAATAATGCATTTTAATACAACTCAAATATGATTTTTTTATATACATTATTTATCTTGTTAAAACCTGGCTAGCATCTTAAAAAGCAACAATGCAGCCAAAAATGATGAAATCAGGACAATCCCTTGGGTCACAGAGTCACAAGTTTAGATTATGTGTGCCGATGTGTTTCAAAGAGAAGTTGAGGAAGCAGAGGAAGCTAAGTACATGTGTTTTTTTGTTCGGCGAGCACTTTCTCTTTGCGAACAACAAACTCAGATCACCAGCAAAGGTGYAGAGAAGCAGCTCAGTAAATCACTGGGAGGCATGTGAACACTTCCTGCTTCTCCCTCCCTTTTCTCCTCACAGAGCTCAGCCAGAGTTTCTCCACTTCAAACCAGGACTTCAAAGTGGGAGCAAGAGCCAACAAATGTGACAAATACACATGYCTTCACTCAGTCCTTCTCCTGATAAGCTCCTTCTTGCTTGTCACAGACCTTGTAAGACACAGACGCTGCACGGCGGTAATTAAAAAGGCTCAACTGCACTGAAATACAAAAGACATCATTAGCTCATAGTTAGGCTRCTGCTTGTCCTTTAATTCCACTTTTCCTCTCTGTCAGTGTTAAAGTGACACGTAATTAAGCATATATGTCAAAGAAATCCTGTTTTTCTCAAAGCTGAACTTGAACTCATATTTGACTAATGAAAAGATGCAGGAAACAAGAAAGACAGTGTTAAMCTTTCTGTGATCACAACTTTGAACCAACAGTCACACAGCCAATTCCCGAAGCTGTTCAGGTGACCAGGAGGAGATCTTTGTGGACAAAAAGGTGTGGACACAMAAAGGTGAACAGGACATGGTGTAAAGCTTAACATGATGTCTGACTGAAGGTGAAGAAAAAGCTGAGGGACACTGAGAAAAAAAAACTGAAACACAAAATAAAAAAAATTCAAAACAACCTCAAACAGCTAAGACGCAGAACCAGCTCTGTTTTGTAGGAATCAAACTCTTAGCACATTGATTTCTTCCTTTTTCTGGTAGAGTGAGTGTAGAGGCACGATCAACTTTCACTGATCCTTTATTGGACAAAGGTTTGTCCAAATAAGAATCCATGGCTAAAATCCATGGTGCTGTCTGTGGTTCTGAAGCACAAGATTGAATCATCCCCCCCCCCCCTTCCTTTCTATCGGTTTTACCTCTAATTCTAGTATAGCTCCCCATAAAATACATATTTACTCCTGTATTCTTCACACAACAGTACAGAACTCTGCAGCTTTTATAATAAAATCAAAGAACAATAGATTTACAGTCACAATACTCCTGATGGAATTTTTTCATTGGTGCTGTAATGATTGCCCACTTATCCAAAACAAAGAAAGCGCCATTTTCATCTCTTCGCTGTGATTTTGAAAAAGGATTTGGTTTCTCCATAWTTCAAGAGCTCCAAGCTGAGTTTTTGATGTGAACTGGATTTATAAAATTTAGCTTTGTGGGATGTTTAAAATAGTTAATGTTCTCATAGTTTTCGGTTTTGGGGTTTTATTTTTCATGTTTCTTGATGTGTTTGGTTTCTGTGTTCACTTGGTTGTTTGCCTCCCTGTCTCTCCAGTCACCATCAGTCATTTATAGGGCTGTAATGATTCACTCATGCCTCGATTCAATAATCGATTTTAAGTTCAATATGATTATTTTCTTGTTTTTTTTTTCAACAAAATTAATTGTAGCCATTTTATAACCAAATGTTTCTTTTCTTTTACCATCAGCATTTTTGTCCTTGTGTCAAACTGTAACTGTCTGTTGCCTTAGAACTAGAATAAGAACAAATAAATAAAAATGTCATCACAAATCCCTTTGTGACCAAACGCTACCAAGCATCAAACTGAATTTGTCTTAAAGACACAACTTATACAATAACAATGTTATTGATACATTCATTTTTAGGAAGCAATTCACATTTTAAACAGTTATAACTGATTAAAAATTGACCGTCAATTAATTGTTGCATCCCGGGTCATTTCCTAAATCAGTTTCTTGCTCTTGCCATGCCCACTCTCACCTGCTTCCTGTTTCATTAAGCTCAGCTGCCTCCTCAGTCCATATAGTCAGTCAGTTCTCACTTCTTCCTCACYGCAGCATTATGAGCATTACTCATGCCAAGTCTGGTTCTACTTGTGTGCCTCCTGTATGTACTTTTGWACGTGTTTTTGGTTGTTTAGGTTATGTTTTTGTTCTTCGCGTGGGTCTGWATACCTGGGTCCACTCCTCTCCAAATGGCTAAAACTGTCAGTTTTGCAGATATTGAACTAATTTTTGACTTAATAATAGCTTCAAAACCCATATGTTGAGTGTGACATGTTGCATTATGGCATAACGTTGTGTATATTATTACAGCTAGCACTTTGTTATTTTTTTTAACTGGGTGATCAATTTAAAAAATGTTGACCAAGTTTAAACCCGAGGAACTCACTCACACATCATGAGCAAAACAAAATATATTCATCACACTGTTCTCTACTCTGGATATAAATACATATTTGTCAGGCTTTCATAATAAAAGAGTCCAAATAATAAAATCTATAATTTGTAATCTATACTTTCCTGGGAATCAAAATGTAAATAAAGGGTTTCTCTGAGGTCCTCTGCCCTCTCCTCACCCTGCTAAAGAGCASATAAATGTAACCGTTTGCAAAGGGTGGGTTATTTGACAAACTGACCAAAGGGTGGAGGTRAATCTTTACTAAGGGTGGTAGTTTCTCCATTGTTAAGGCATGAGCATTTCAGTCACGGGTCTGACTCATTCTGTCTGAGAAAAAAGAGATGTAAGCAGTGTGCCAACCTGCAAGCGTGAATTATTTACTATGTCTAAACTCTGCTGAGTGCAGCAAAGATGGCATGCAGACTGGCTGCTCGTGCGTGCTGGAGATCCGGGTTGGAATATATGTGTTGGAACAATGAAGCAAAGCCATAACAGCAAGCAGCCAGGGAGGGACATGTTTTTCCTGAATGTCACCAGGGCTTTWCAGCAAACTGAAATTTCTGTAGTGTAGATATTGATCGTCAAACGTGGCGTTTGCTCGCTCATCTATCAAGGCTACAATGTGAACAGAGCAGGTGGGTACCTCTTTTCTTCCACCAGGAGCCCTCCCGGATGGTGTACGAGAGCTCGTTGAACTCCAGGTCCACCGTAGAGCGGCGCGGGAGGTGGCAGAAGCGCTGAGCCTCTGTGATGTGGTTCTCCACCTTCTTAAGGTGGGTGAGGAGTGGGGCCTCCTGGGGCGCTCCCACTGGGAGTTTAGGCTCTTCCATTGGGATGCTGACCGAGCCCGTCTCTGCTCTCTCTGCCATGCTGAAAGGCTGCAAAGGAGGACAGCTGCATCAGTTCCAAAAGAAACCATTTTACACAATACAACCCCGATTCAAAACATGTACATTTTTTTTTATAAAAACAAAACGCAATGGTTTGCAAATATTATAAAGCCATTTTTTTATTCATGGTAGAACATAGTAATACCCACATAACAGACAGGTAGAGGTACAGGTAGCTAGATCTGGTGTCAGGTTGGCACTGTTAGCTGACGGCTGGCATGGCAAGTCATTTGTCAACTAAATGTGGGCCAGGTCTGGCAATAATGCCCCCCACCTCCACATCACTCCTTCATCCCCAAAACAAACGGTGGTAGCATCATATTGAGGGGTGTGTTTTTAATTAGCATGSACTGGGAGAGAGTTCAGAATTGAAGGAAAGTCGGATGGATCTAAACATGGAGTCATTTTTGAGGGAAACATATTTGAATCTTCCAGAGATTTGAGACTRGAACAAAGGTCCACGAGCGAAAAGGCAACAGTTTGATGGTTCAAGAAGAATTGGTTAARCTTCCTGGAATGGCTTTTAGTGCAGATTAGTTTATTTTAAAATCACCAACATTAAAATGAATATGATTGRTTTTCAAACATTTATTGAAGATTTAAGAAATAACTTCAATAAAAGGTGTCAAACTTAAGACTGATGATTGACGCTTCAAAAAAGCTGGATCAAGATGAAACAGAATCCAACTGAATCATTCACATCTAATGAAAAATCTCACTAATTAGCTTGAATTTATTTGAACTAAAGTACTGACATATATGACTAAGTGGATATTTACTCATAAGGGTGTGTGCCAGAGCTAGCTTTATTCTGGCTGCACACATTATTCTAAAATGTAGTCTTTARTCCACAGACTCCCTGCTTAAAGCACATGAGATTTTGGACTTTGGATCTGGTTTCAGTTCTGCAGCACATTTACAGTCCAGTCCTGCTGATTCATGTAAATTTCCTCCTCGACAAGGCGGCCTGTCTGAGGTATAAGACATGTTGTACTTTATGAGCCACAAGCTTGGCAACAATTTAAAATCTGAATGACATGCTGCTACACTGATATCATACATCAGGAAACCTTTTAAAAGGTACAATAAATAGCAGCACAATTTTATGACAGCAAAAAAAAAAAAAAAAAAACTACTTTCAGGGGAAAGTAAATGGGTAATAAACTGAAAAAATGTCCTCCAGCAGAAAAAA